AGGGAGAGCCTGGCCAGCTCTGCAAAAGTCTCTAAGCAGGAGCCCCTCTTAGAGCCCAGGTGAAGCCAAGGTGAGGTCACCTCACCAACAAGGTAACACAACCAGAAGTCTTACCCTTCCCCACTACTAAAGGGTCTAGTCTTTACAAGTTAGTACTTGTCATCTGTGAAGTCTCCTGAAGTTAAGACAGGTCTAGTGGTTTGGAGGCACATGGTTTTGATTCTGATAGGGGAAGGGGGATGACAAAGGTCCTTCAAGTGTCTGTATTCTTTAGGAACGGGTGTCCTCTGAAGTTTCTCCCAGTAACTGGGGCAGGACCCTACAATCCCCCTTTAGTTCCTAATTACTCATAATGGGTCTGTGGCATGGTAACAATTTATCACAGGTTTAAAAGCTGTTGGAGGCTATGAAAATTATGTTGCTAGGTGCATAGATACTGTTGAATAGGAACTATGTAATAACATATGTACATGTGTGCACACACATCACACGTCTAGCACTTCCAGAAAGATGCTGACAACTTAGTCGAAATGACAATGTAATAGAGAAGACATCTTTTGATGAGTAACCGTTCAGTCAGGGGTACAAACAGTAGGTGCTCTGGGTTAAATCGAAAGAGGGAATATTCAAAAGAGACTTCTGCAAGGAGATAGAAAATCAGCTAAATTTTTAGGCTGAATAGGAGTTGGAAAAGTAGAGAGGCTGGAGGGTGTGAACATGGTAGGACCAAAGGCATGGAGGTGCGAAAGCCCCATTTGTTCAGGATTTCATGATTTGCCAAGAGAACCAGTGGGAAGTAAAGATGGAAAAATATGGCAGAGCTGGAAAGGATGTGAGCCACTGCCTGCCCCAGCCCTGCCAAGCAATAGGTAATGGAAGACTGGGACCCTGCAATCCCACCTCGCCTCATTCCACGGATGAGTAACACCAAGGCATTCGTTATCCCAGGTCCCTCATCCTCTTACCCCTAGGGGGTCTGGGATTAGGCCTCAGCAAAGAGTTTGAAGGTAACATGCCAAGCTGGGGAGCTGTTGTGTAGGTCCTGCGAAAAGGGAGTGTTGTGGTTTTAGGATGAATGTCTTTACCACATGGATTCTCCGCATCCCTCCCCCATCTGTAGGATGCTATTTCACGGTGGATCTGAGAGAGATACACATCTTCTTCTCCTTTCACATACACCTACTCAGCAACAGCTCCCCAACCCCCGCCAACCATTGACTTCTTACACCCCACTTCTTTTGTAGTCAGACATCTGCAGGATGCCAGCCTGGTCAGGATAGCACATATTATCTGCTTGTGGGACAGAAGGAAACTCATTAGTCTGTTTAAAATTTGTACTTACACCTCTGGGGTTCTGGCCCAGTGCTCCTTGGCCCAAGCTCCTTTGTAAATACTAAGCATCTTTCTCCCCAGCAAGATTCCTTCCCTACAAAGGACATTGCTTCAGTTAATAAAATGCTGGTGAATGTTTTTGTGGAGGCACCTTTGAAGATTTGGTTAAATAAGAGGAACATATCACCAAGAAATGCTTCTTTTACCCCCCCCCCCCCGCCAAAAAAAGGCATAATAAGTCATAGGTCTTGGAGTTCTGAAACCAGAACATTCTAGGTTCAGATTTCACCTCTCCTGCATGTATACCAGGCCTAGTCATTAGTTCCTTGCTAGGTTGTTGTAATGATTAGAAGTAGTGTACATAAAGCATCTGGCTCACGGACACTCAGTAAAGGGCAGACGTTATTAATAACATCTCCATTTTATAGAAGTTCCTCCTCCTGAGGTGGGGGTTTGCTATGTTGTGCTGATTCCGTGAGATGGTTTTAAATTAAGAAGGCGGCTGCGGGTGGATGCTAACTCCTTCAAGCAGCATTCTCTGCAAGCAGTGACCACATGAGGCTGCCTGGCAGGGCCAGGCCCTGTGCAGACTCAAGCTCACAGTCACTGACAAGAAAAATCTTTTTATTTTTTACTTTGCTGAGAAGGTGATACTGAAAGCTTTCTTCCTTTGGGAAATCAATTTCACTGTGCTGTGGATCTCGGGAAGTGGGGTCATACTACTGCTTTTCTAAAAGGGAGACATATTTCTGTTTTTATTAATCATGGAGCTGACACAAGACTGGTAGGATTTGTAAAAGAAAATAACTTGTTTACTCTCCTTTTTGATGCACCCCCTGCCTTCCAGAAGTTAGGAGTCAAGAAGGGATTTTTTTTTATCTCCCAGTCCGGAAGCCATACCCTCTTCAGGCTTAAAATAAGCAGCCTCATGTCCTTGGAGACCTGATGTATCTGAATTTCAGGAATAAAAGGAATTCTCAGATTTGTGTCGGCTGTCATTTGGAAGGCAAAGTTACAAAGCCCACTATTGCCAAGAGTCCCTAAAATAGCCGTGCATGTAATTATGGGGCTAGACACTGCCTTGTCAGAAGCGTAAGAACGTGTCCTTTGAGTTGAATCCAGTATGAAGGACCATTGGTGTGGATGGTGAGAGGCTTTTATTCTACGCTGGGTTTCCTGACATACAGAGCGCAGCTCACCTTCACATAGTGAGATGCAATCAAAAGGTCAACATGAAATAGTTATGTTGGGTGAGAAGAGTGTTGGTATTAATGTTACCTGGTTTTATAAAATTATCTGCACAGTTTCTGTCAACAGTAGCCATTCCTCCTACTTCTGAATTTGAACACCTGTTTCCCTCTCTCCCTCTACCCCCCTACATATTTACATATATATGCATCTGTATTTGTATCTATCTATATCTGCATCTGCATGCGACCTTCTTACACACACCATTGTACGAAGTGAAGTGCAGCCTCGTGGAGTGCCGTGGTGGGGCAGCAGCTCCCTCCACGCAGGTGGGAGGCTGTAGAGAATTGGGGCCCAGTTTTTGCTTCTGCTGAGCGTTCTGCACCAATAACCAAGCCGCCTCTAGGGGGCAGCAGAACATCAACGAAAACTACTGTGCCTGGGGTTGTCAGGCTTTTCTGGCTCCTGGTCCAGGAGCTTCTAGGTCCAGGATGCAGCAGCAGACCTCCTCCCCCTTTCCCAGCAGAATGAATCCTCTTGGGCTTGCCCAGCTAGGGTCCGCTTGCCTCCCCTCATTTCCTTCTCCTCCAGACTCTTACACTCTCCTCGTCTACTTTGTACCATGTCATCGAGCTTAATGCCAGGACACATTTGCAATTGTTTTTTTTTTTTTTTGTTTTGTTTTGTTTTTGTTTTGTTTTGTTTTGTTTTTTAGTTACGATAGTCATACAGAGAGAGAGAGGCAGAGACACAGGCAGAGGGAGAAGCAGGCTCCATGCACCGGGAGCCCGACGTGGGATTCGATCCCGGGTCTCCAGGATCGCGCCCTGGGCCAAAGGCAGGCGCCAAACCGCTGCGCCACCCAGGGATCCCACTATTGTTTCACAAACAGCTATACCTGTCCTTTTTGGCAGGAACAATGTTTTTATGTCTCTGTGTTTCCCATAATGCCAGGCCTGCCCCGGAGGCCGCAGTAAATGCTTGACAGCAGATGGAGAATCCGGTAATCTGTAGTGAGTGCTTGATACATTTTTGCTAATTTAGTTGTCAAGATGGTCTTGTTCTTGCACAAGAGAAGGCATTTGATTTGCTTCACCTATTTCTGAAATGGCTACCTCCCCACGTGCTTTCTGGTTTGTTTTAGATGGGAGTGTAAGATGTAGGTGTAGTGGAAAGCATTAACTTCGGTGCCACAGTTGCAGGTGTGCATCGAGGCTCTTCCCCTTCCTGGTCATGTGCCTTGCTCAAGTTCACTCCCCAGCCTCGGTTTTCTCACCTACAAAATGGGCCTGTTTAAGCTGATCATATAATTTTACCTAAACTGGGGCACATTTGAGAGTGAAGGAGGATATTTAAAAATACCTATCCTATAGTTTTTTTAAAAAATATTTATTGACTGAGGAGTGGTTTTCATTTTTATTTTTGACTTGTCTGTAAAATTAGTCTATTCAAAAATGGTTCTCAAAATAACATTCCCTACAAAATAGTAAGATAATATATAAACAGGACAGATTGTAAACTGGTTGGCACGCTGGAACAGCAGGTGTAAACCATATGGTGCTTCAAAGAATCAAACCAAGCAATGTGTGTAAAGTGTGTAGTGCTGTGCCTGGAACACACTGCGTATCCAGGAAATGATGATTACATTTTTCCTTCCTGGAAAAAGGTTGGACAAAAAAGCACTCACCATAGACCAGCGGCCTATGGAGTTTTTTAAAAGGCTGCTGCCAGGAGGATATGCTCCTACCTCTCCAGATTCTACCGGGCCAAGGTGTGAATTTTGTCCAACCCCAGCTGGGAAATACCCATTGAAGAAGATGGTCCCACTTATATGTAGTCAGATGGCTGCTTCAGCAGTGGAGAGCATGCCCCCGGGACGCTGTGCATTTTGGTTAATAATCTGGTTGACCTGTGAACCCAGAACTCTTCACTTGTGAAGTCACTACTCCTTCTGGGCACCTTGCCTGGAAAGCTGCTGGAGCAACGGGTCTTGGCAACCCTGTTCTGCACCCAGCTCCTGTTATTTAGGAGCTTGATTGTGCTCAAGTATTGGGCTTACCATAAACATAATAGTTTGAGCTGTAAAATGCATACCTGTCTTGAAGGTTGGTGTCCCCACGTAACTGGAAGCTTAATTGCCGTTCTGTGCTTGGGTTTCCAGGGTTGGGAACACCCCTTTTAGCAACTGTAAATTCATGACTCCTCACCCTGCCTCGCATAAGTGTTATTTTGCTCTGGTAATGAGAGCTGTGGAGCCTTTGTGTGCTCCTGTGACCCAAAGCCCCTCAGAACCGAGGCTTGTGTTTCTGCTGGTTCCTCGTGTGTTGGAGAATTCAAGGAGTGCTCTTTGGCCTCCTGGAGTTAGGGAAGGATCTTCACGTGGTCACTCGCAATGTGTGACAGGAGGATCAAGGGCAGGAGCAGGTGGTAGTGAAGGGACAGCCCACTGCATGGCTCCTAATAGCTTCTTCTTTCTCTAGGTATGTGTACATTCCGGTAGGCGGGTCCCAGCATGGCCTGCTGGGGACACTGTTTTCCACCGCTGTGACGTTTGCATTTGTGAGCTTCTGGCATGGTGGCTATGACTACCTCTGGTGCTGGGCAGCACTCAACTGGCTGGGAGTCACCGTGGAGAATGTAGTCCAGAGGCTTGTGCGAACCCCGTGCATCCAGGACAGCGTGGTGAGCAGGGTCCTTGCTCCTTTGGTGGGGGACAGCTGAGCTAGGTGGGTTAGGTTTGGGAAGGAAAGTGGTCATCAGATTTCACCCTCAATATGGGCCATTCCTGCCAGATTGATTCAAAGAGCATGTGCCCAGAGGTAGCAGGTTTTTTTTTTTCCCACATAAGTGTTTTAACTCTAAAAGCAACGCATGCCTATCATACAAAACTAAGAAGATTCACCCAAGAGGAAAAGAAAAATACCTCTTCAACAAAAGCCATGACTCACAACTATTCTAACTTTTTTTTCTTTATGCACACATGTATAACATTTAAAACAAATGCTATTATTCCAGAGATATAATTATATCGGCACTGCCTTTCTATGTCACCAAACCCATTTCTAACAACCCTTTTTAATGCTACGTAGAATTCTATTATGTGGCCATGCCATCGTTTATTTCATTAATCTTCTGCTATTGGCAATCATGTCATTCAAATTTTTTGCAGTTGTCAATCAAAATTGAGATGAGTATCATAACCAGGATGAATTCTCGTATGTAAAATTGCTAACTTAAAGGCTTTTCTCACCTTTTTTTGCGGGCCTACTGCTTAACTCTTCCTTAACTGCCGTGCAGACAAGGTGTGCAAATTTACATTCCTACCAACAAGCGCATGGGGATGCCCTTGCCAATACTGAGTAGTCAGCACTACTGTATTTTTAATATTGGCTAATTTTATAGGGATTGTTACTATTGCATAAAAAACAGCTAAGTGCTTAAGATACATTCCAATTCCACAGGAAAATGATTTGGAAAATGAGGCACTTTACACACATATTTTACACAGATGTTTAACATAGAAAAAGTGATATACAGTGTATTAGAATCTTGTAGGAAATCATCAGTTCTGAATATGCAGCAGTATTCTGATAACCCTGAAAAAAGTGGCTAAAAAGAAATATTCTGTCATCAGTGTTCATGGCAGGCAATAAAACACAAGAAATCTGAGCAGTGATTAATGTGCCTAAACTCCCCCAGTATATGGAACTAACGCAAATATGTTTCAGAAACCCAACACCACCAAATAGAATACGTTTGGGTTTTTTCTTATATAGTTATAGCAAAAGTGGACAGTTATTTCAATAAAAACTGACACAAAGCACATAGAAAAATAACACATCTAAAGGAATTTAAATATGCTCATGTATGTTTAAAGATAAATATTTTATTCAGTAGTAGTACCCAGCAATCAGCAGGAAAGAAATGTCAGTGAGTCCTAATAGAGAATGGAATTTCAATGAAAGTCATGGTGTTGGAATCCAAAGAAAAACCATAAAAGGTGGTATCATCGAGGTTTCAATCTCTGTCTTCAAATCTGAAAGTCTTTCACACTGAAACCCAATTATGATCTGTGAAAGCCAGAGAATTCTTTCCAGCGTAGGCTAAGGCCCTGTAACACATCTCCCTGCTCCTTCACGAAGGGTCTAAAATTAACCTTGAACTTAATGCTACACACCGCTCTCTAGATTGTGAGCCATGGCTTATGTTATTGATGAATTTTAAAAGTCCAAAATGTTAAAGGAGTAACCCAAACCGTGTTGTGTAGCAGCCTATGGCTTGTTAATTTTGGTTAAAAATGAAGACACTTACAGGATGAAGCGCTTGAATGTCTACTCTGCTTTTTCACAGCTCATGCTAGGCCCCTCACATGTTTACCTCATTTGAGCTCCCATCCACAAGTCAGACACCTAAGTGTGTGGTAATTTTTGAGTATGCAGTTTTTGGTAAGATGTATGCCTTGTGTATATTATGAATGTGGTATGTAGTAGGCATATTTACTGAGCAAGAACATATTTTGTAAAACCTGTTATATCACCTTCCATCCTGACAGCTTGGGCGTTGGTTATGGCTGTGTAGATGAAGAGCTCCTTAAGTATGAGATCAGGATCCCATTGCTATTTCTATCCCCAGTGGTTAGCTCAGTGTCTGAGTTAGCCACAGTGTTAAGTCAGGGCGCAGTTGGGTTGATTCTTTGGTTGTTCTTCCACTTGTCCACCCAGAGACTACCCCCCCACCCCACCCAATTACTCTGTTTCTTACACAGTTCAGCATAGATCCTGGTTTCCTTCAGAAAAATAGGACTGGCATTCCAGATTTGTGGGACCTTTTGAATAAACTGTTTCCCCACCTTGGTTACTCTCCTTCCCCCTCTTTTCATGAATCCAGTCCCCATTCTTTTGTCAAAATCCAAATGAAGACTTAGTGCCTCCTTAGTACCTAAATTCCTCTGACGTTAATTTCCACAATTGATCTGATAGTATCCTTACAATATGAGTTTACCCACTGGCTGCTCATACACTCTCTCCATGGCTTTCATCCTTCATCTGTTTTTTTTTTTTTTAAAGATAGATTGGAAGATACCTGAGGATGATCATATCTTTTCCTGTATCTTTTTCATCTTCATCCTCAAAGCTTTGTCTCAAGCACAAAGTACACTAGGATGTCTCAGTGTTGATAGAATGGCAGTTGAACATTCATCAGAAGATTAATCAGAGCCAAGTGTTGTAGGAGGCCTCCTGATGTTCTAGGCAGGGCTGTCTAATCGAACCTTCTGCAGGAATGGAAATGACCAATACAGGAGTCACAAACCACACTGAGCCCTTGAAATGTGGCTAGTGTCACCAAGAAACTTTTTAAATTTATGTAGTTTTAATTAATTTGAATCTAAGCAGTTGCCATGTGGCCAGGGGCTTCCATTTTGAGCAGTGCAATTCTAGAACATACCTCCATCTAGAAAAAAATTAAAAGAATGTAGAGTGTGACTATAATTTTAAGTGATGTTCATTAATAATGAGGTACCTCGTATATCCAATGGCTACTGAACTGTTCCTCTTGTGTATGTCACGGATATCTCAGACTGAGCTCATGTACCCCTCCCTGAATAATTCCACCTCGCTCCTGATTTCCTCTAGCATTCTCTATTTCTAGAAAAGTCATCCCCTATCTACTCAAGGCCAAAACCATCAAGTTTCCCTTTGTACTCTCTCCTCCTCAGTTCTACCTGTATGGTCTATATTTTATTTCCTAGGTAGTTCTTAATTTTTAAAAAATTGTTTCCATTTCTGCTAACTCATCCTAATCTAACTCTTCTTATTTCTTGCCTGGGCTACCAAATAGTTTCTAACTAGTCTCCCTGCCTCCATGTTTGCCTTCTTCGATTCATTATCCTCATAGGGCTGAGTGATGTTTCTCAATAAAAACCTAACCATATTGTTATCCTTCTTAAAATCCTCAGTGGTATCCCATTATTTTAGGACTAAGCCCACAATATTTAAGAGGACCCATGAGGCTCTCTGCCTGGTCTTGAAACGTCTCCCTATCCTCTATGCTCCCACCTCCCCCCCACACACACACTTCCCACTCTGTTTTTCCTTCTCTTCATTTGCACGCTTGGCCCCTCTAGCCTCCGAACCCCCCCCCCCAACACACACACAGGCTCGCCCATCTCCTAGGATGCTCTCTCTCTTCTCCCTCCACCTCTGTTCATCCTTCAGATGGCCGTTTGAGTGACACCTTGTTTGTGTGTCTCGTGTTGACCCTGCTGCCCCACCCCCCCCCAAGTCAGTCAGGTCCTGATGAATAACTCCTCTTGGGCACCTTGTAGGTGATCTCTTCTGTTGTACTTACCATAGTTGCAGTGAAATAGTTTTATGCAATAACTTGCTTAATCCTTATCTCTTTCACTGAGCTGTAAGCCTCATGAAGTCAGAGATGTTTCCTTGGCATGTATCACAATGCCTGGCACAGAGTCAGCGGGCAGTAAATACTTGTTAAATGAATGAATGAAGATTTTCTGACTTCACTGAGGGCAGTATAAGAGGAAGTCGGCTCATATAGCTGCATGAAGACTATAGATTGACTATTGGAAGAACTTCCTAAGGCTGAGGCTTATTGAGCATTACACAGGGAGATCAATTTTTCCCCCATAGCAACATAGATAGTAATTGATCTAGTGATGGCAAAATGCTATTTTAATGCTCAGTGAACAAAACATACATAGGAAAGAAAGGGATGGGGAGGAATTAGCCTGTCTGGTACCCTGCTGCTTTATGAGGAGGGGCGGGGATTATTCCTTGTGGCTCACTGGGGCAGAGCTGTAGGAAGCTGACAAAAGGTACTTTCATGAAGTTCCCAAGCCAGGTGGGCAAAGAGGAAAGAGGAGTGACTTCTGAAGCAACACGCTTTTTCTCTCTATGGGCACTCTCTTGGGGGGCTAGAATTTGTGTTCAGCATTGAAATCTTTTAATAAATGGAAACATTTTGAAGCATCAGTAGAATGACATTACTTCTTGCCAATTCTCTATGTGTTCTCTCCTTTGAAGGAAGATACCTTCAGGCTGCTTGTCAGTTATTGCTACAAAAGGAGAATCGACATCCCAAGCAGTTCACCCACCCCAACCTCTGACGTTCTTTTCATTGAATAATTTCAGTATGTCCTCCTCCCCCAGCCCTTGTCTCCTCTCTTTGCCCCTGAAAGTATCCTGTTGAGCTGATTTATATCATTTCTGAAGCAGTAAAATTTCTATTTATAGACTTATTGAGGAAAGGTGCCTCCAATGACAATCAGAGAGGGTCAGTCCAATGGTTCTGGGAGGGATCTGAGGCTCTTGGTGTGTCAGAAAGAGTGCAAAGACCATGGCTCTGTGGCGACATCCATTCAGTTTATCTGCTATATTGGTCAGTTTGACTTTGAAGACATAGGTACAAAAATCCCATGAGTTTGAGAGATCAGTCAATTTAAAATTGATCAGTCAATTGTTATCGAATTATCGACATGATCCAACCAATGCTTATTTAGTTCTCTGGAATCCTAACCCACCAATTAGTGGGATATGCATGTCAGTTGGCCTGATAAGAAAAGCTTTCACTTGAGGTCTGTGACTCCAGCCCCAGCTAACTCACTGAAGGATTACAAAGCAAACTAGTCTAAGAAGAGTAGTTCTGTTTGACAATGACTCATG